CGAAGCACTTTCACATTGGGACACGCTGGTGATCGTGATATTTGTTTCGGCTCGGGAGAGCCGCAGCGCCTCACAAAGGCAAATCGCCCCCAGCGTGAAGGCCCGCGCTGCCGCGCCCAACGATGATCGGATGGTGTTCGACGGACGAATCAAAGTGACTCGTGAGGGCCGATTTGAGCAGCGCCCTCGCGTTAACCCCCGCTGGCAACCACCGAAGCACTCGGAGGGCGGCTGTGAGGAATCACTGCCACCACGAGTACGGCTGGCGCGGGAGGTGTCGGTTTGTTCCACCATTACGCGAGCCGTTGAGCGGCGTGTCGTCGGCATGGGCCTTTCGAAGAGCGAGCTACGACGCTGTTTCCGAACCCAAGTTTGACGGTTCCAGTCATTTCCCCCCCCCCCCCCCCCCCCCCCTTTACGGGGGCGTAAACTCCCCGCGTTTGTTTTTACCAAGGCACCCTTAATTCACAACGACTCCTCTATTCTCAATGCCGCCCCCTCAATTTCAAATCTCGGGGAAACTCCTGGACGGTTCCAAATGCGGCTTCCAGGTCTCCGGCGCCGCTCCTCGAACACGGGAGTCGTTCTGCTCCATTCAAACGGCGAGTGCAGCGTTTCGGTGGGTCCAAAGAGCGCTCGATCCTTTCCTCTCGCGAAGCGTACACGGATATCGGGCGGCGCGGCGAAAGGAGCGTCCGCCAGTGAGCAGCGTCGCCGCTGCACATGTGGCAGCGGCGACGCGACTGCGTCGAGAGCGCTCCGTTGAACGCAGCTGCTCCCGCACGCTGGGTTTCAGCAGCCTCGCTCTCCACACTGGCGAGCACGCTGCCGTTCCAGGTGCTTCCGCAGTGTCGACGATAGAGAGCTCGCCACGGAACTGGACGAGGCGTTCAACCCAACTTCCTTTTAACCCATGTCCATGCGGCGTGGTTAGCATCTAAACGTGCAACTCAGGTCACGCTCACTACGCTGGAAACCAAGACGCGCGTTTTCCGTCCGATTGATCGCGAGATAGTGCGACTGGTGGCCTTTAGTGGCGCAGCTAGAAGTTCTAATATCGGAAATCCCGGAAAGTGGGGCAGGAGGTGGAAAAAAGAAGGGGGGGGGGGGGGGCGATGTCTGTACGCCATATATTGTAGGGTCCTGCATCTTAGGTTCAATCCGATGAAATCTGGACGAAAGAATAAGTGATTGCGAGTAGAAGCCATTCCTACAACATCGAAGAGAACGACTGTTTAAAGAAGTGAATACAAGTCAGTCACCCGCACTCTACACAAGGGGGCGAATAAAGCGTCTCACTCTGCCCCCTTCACCCCGTGAGCTACAAACTTCCCAAGGGGACCGGGCTCTTTCAAGGCCTGTTCCGCTCGACAACAGATTCGACGAGAACGGTTAACATTTCGACAAGACAGACTAGAACCAGGGGCGGATTTAGAGGGGGGGTCCGGATGTCCTGACCCCCCTCTTGATTTCTGTATGTGTAAAATTTAGGGCGTGAAACGAGGAAGAGGGGGAGGGGGTTCCTAAACAAATGGTACACTGAACAACACCTGACCCCCCCTCAGAAAATTCCTGCATCCGCCCCTGACTAGAACATGTTACCTTTGGTAATAAAAATAGGGAGGGCGCAGAATAAACATTGAGCCTTTCTTTTTAGAATGAAGGCTCCGCTGAGAGTAAGTTCCCTTTTCAATGGGTATTAAAAAAAATTTAAAAATGAATCATAGTCCAACACTTCAGTTGGGATGAAATCTCTCTTTCTCCTCCAACTTTTACACCCGATAGTTTATTTGGCCTGCAAATTTAATTTCTGTACAATGGCAACAAAAAAAAAATATTATATGTGTATATACTAGTGCTAACCTCTACACCACTCCACACACAGGTGGAGTGGTGTAGAGGTTAGCACACTCGACCGGACATTGGGAAGCCCAGAGTTCAAATCCTGGCTCCGCCGTTATTTTGGCTTTCGGCGGGTTCCTGAAAACTTTGATTCTTTGGATTAAGTACGGTTTATTCATCCGCATATGTTCGTTTATATCCTCTTCGGAGACCACGTACGATGGTGTGAAGTGCCCGTGCCCGTATATATAACGGGCACCTCACACTATATATATATATGTATATAACGGGGATGGTGGCGGGAAGCCGAAGGCGTGGGTATGACTGAGAAGAAAACCCTCGGTGAAAACAGCAACAAAGGACGGTTTATTCTTCGACGTCTCAGCCGGAGTCCGGCCTTCGTCATATATATATATATCCGCTACCATGTTTATTAAAAAAAAATGATTAATGTCAAGTTTTACGAACCTACCAAACTCCACACTCTAGTACAAGTATCATAAACTACTGGAACAACTCACAAATATATTATGGAAGCCTACACTTGTACTTTAAAGGTGAAAGTTCCCTTCAGCGCCGTTGGAACCAGAGTGAAGTCAAGGTTCACTGCTCTTTCGATGGACAGCTGCACGGGAACCACCTTGACCGTATTCATTCGAATTCAGACCCGCGTTTCTCTTTCTCGGTGCAGCCTTTCATAGTTCGGGATCAGCCCATGACCAAAAACAAAGAACCCGTCAGTGCGCCGAGCCTAGTTTCCGAGCCTATCGCGCTAACCCAGCCGCTCGCCCATGTCACCTAATGTCAGCCGCTGCTCGGGGGCATCTGGCAGAGATGATAAACAAGTGATCTCACCACGAGTACAAGATCCTGGTTCCAAAGCAGCCGCCATCCTACTATTTTGCAATGTTTCCTGGCGACTTTTAGCTCCTGGCATCGCCCGAAAATTGGAACAATGTCGGCGATCAACCCGCCAGCGGCTCAATCAGCTAGCACGGTTGACGAGCAATCTCTATACTTGGTTTCACCTGAATATAAAGCTAGCCCACGCTACGAGCCAATCGGCGCGTTCAGTAGCGGCACCGGAATCAAGGAGTCACGGACTCCTTCCACTGGACGGCCAAAAGTCACTTCCGGTGCACGTAACTCCGGGACTTCGGACTCGGAGTCAAGCTCCGGCCGAAGCACCAAGTCCAGAGACGGTACACGTAGAGCACTATATAGCTCCTACGGAGCAGAGTAGCGCAATCCTTTGAACCCCGTGTCTTGCCGACAACATGGCCGACAGAGCGGCTCGGCGCGAGTCACGTGGTACTCAGGGTTCCAGGAGGCGGCCCGCCCTATGGGAGAATACATGGAGATCGACATAACACGGCTGATTAAAAAACTAACGGCGAGTTAACACTTTTCAAAACTAGTCTGTCGTGAAGTTAGTAAAGCGCTAAACACTTTATCGAAGTTTTAATAATATCGGATGCGTGTGCAAATTTTGAGAAGGCAATTTCCAAGGCAATGGCGTTTGAAGCAGACGATTTTTGCTCGCAGCGGAGATGGGTTGGCCGGAGCGGGTCACGTGAATGGTGTGACGTCGCCGTGTCGTCTGCTGCATGATGCCGCTCCGGCAATTTTTTAAAAAAAGTTACGTCCTTGTATGGCACAAACCTTATCGCATATTATTCTAAAATGTTTCATTATTATGTCAAAAATGATTTCCATTCCGCACATCCCCACAAAACTGAAGAAACAACGATTTTCTCACGTTCTCCATGCATTTCTGACCGCAGTTGGAACCTCCGGGCGTTCGCCGCTAGTCGCCGAGAGACGGCGTTCTAGATTGCGCTACTCTGCTCCGAAGGAGCTATATAGTGCTCTAGGTACACGTAGAGTCAAAGGAGCTAAAGATGACGTCATTTCCTGACTGGTGACAATTTCCGGCGCTAAAAGAGAAAAAAAAAAAATGGCGGGATAAGCTGCTTTGGTTCTGTCGCGGGTGTGCGATTTACTCGCGTTTGTTCATGAAAAGTATTCAAGGTAAGACGAATAACGCGTTCCAATTTCTTTTTGAGGTAAGGCTCTTTCGGAAAATGCGTTTGACCGTATTTTGTTTGGTTTGAACATGCTAATAAACAACGTAAACGTTCATTCGACGCCGTGTCTTGATCGCCGTTGCACGGAAACTCGCTAATATTGACGATAGTCCTGTCCGCGCTCAACAGAGCAAGGCAGGGTATAAACGCTACTTTGGAAGCCGGTTGGACACTCACGCAGAGCATGATACCGATTAATGTTTTGTTTGCGTAGCTAAATCGGGGTGCACGTTGGCTGACGCTCGCTTCGGCCGACAAAACCCTGATCACCGAGCGCGACCGAATTTCCCGCGTGTATACGAATACATTTTATAGGAGTTTCGTTACGAAGGGCAGGACAAACGTATGGCCGTAAAAAAGTATCACGACCGGCGGCGTAAATTCGCCAAGCTCTGTATTTTTCGTGTGCTGACGACGTTTTTTGTCGGCTTTTATAACAGAAGCAACCTTTGCACCGCCAAGCGAAGGGCTCGATCGCGTTGCATCGCTTCGAACAGCAGCGCTGATGTGTACAATCACCCGCTTTTTCTTCAACGACCTTGTAAAGACTTCTTCGATACCGGCGTCAAATAAAAGCGATCGTGCTCGCCATCGTCTGCTTCCAGTTTATTCGGAGACCGTCTGGCACAGCGGAGGAAGCGGAAATTGCGTAGAGGCAGGTTTGGACCCGCGGTTTTTTTTGCCGTTCAGTCGGCGCTCCGAGGGCTCCGACTCGAGGCACTCCTTTCGGAGGCAAGGGAGGTGCTACGGAACGCGCCCAATGGGACAAACCAAATGGGGTGAAAGTCCGACATCGTGGCATACGTGCTCTTTCATCGAGTACAGCAATCCAATGCAGCGAATGTCTCCCCCTCTTAGTACGCGTGTTCGAGCCTTCGACTGTGCTCCAAGATGAAACTAACCGCACGGTGACGAGGCACACCGTGAAATACATATTCGTACCGTTTTCCTTTCCTCCTACTTGTCCGAATATTAAGATTGACCAACATTAAAATACTTATATTTCTCGCTCCGCTCAAGGCCATCCGACGCAAGTGTGGCGCAACTCTTAGCCAAAATGGCGTTATTTTTTATTATTTATGTTTTAGTACTTTGATTTTATCTGCTTTCTCCCTCCATTTTTTTCTGTTTACTTTTTCCTCTTCTTATAATTTTCGCATTCCTTCGTTTCACAATGTAGCAAACCAGCACTAGGAGCTGGTTGACATCATCGTTTTAATAAACGCCTACCTCGCATATAACATTTTGGCGCAAGATGTGGCAGACTTTTGTTCACGGCGTAGTTTGGCGCAGCGATTGCGAGCTTAGCCCGCACTGCAAGCACACGTTCATCCGAACAATTGCTCCCAGTGAGCAGAGACGAGGGAATCCCGAAGCTCGGTCTCGTAGCCTCGCTCGCACTCAAACGGAACGTGCTCTTCCCAAACTGTCGACTCCCACGATCGGCCCAGCCAGCCGGAGAGGTACGCGGGGCGGAGCGCGTGAAGCCTTCCGGACCGGAGGCCAACTCCCCTCAAGAACGGCGCAGCGCGTATTATGGTCGCTCATTTGAGGCCTGCGGTGACCGAACCGAGAGCTGCTCGCGGAGGAACGCGAGGAGACGCCCCGAATCTCCTAATGCTCCCGGCGGAGAATCAATACTGGGCGACATTCAGCCTGACCGGGGAACTGCTCGCACCGTTACCTCGTCCGATGGCCCCGCCCTCGAGCCCGACCAACGCAAAATGCACGAGCGCTGGCGGACCAGACTGCGCCGAAAGTCCAACTCGGCCCACTGGGCGCTCGCTTGACTCGAGCTCGGCGCAGGACTACCGGCGTCCACGAGGCAGTCGGCGTCGGCAGGTTCAAGGGCGCCCGAAAAAGGGAACGCCGAGAGAGAACACTTCAGTTCCCGACGCGAACCCCCGACGCGCAACTGCGACGCACCGACGATAGGCAGCGAAGGACGAGATGCCCGACACGCAAAAGACAATGCGACATCTGGTACGGAGGAGAGGACAAACCTCTCTCTCCGTCTTCACCAACCTTCACTCGGCGATTGGTGGAGAAGGGAAACACAACAAAACAGACGCCGATAGTTTATTCTGGTTTCGGAGAAAAATAGACGCTCTCCCGAGCCGTTTGTTTTTTGTTTCATTGTTCGTTTATTAGCGGGTTCGCTTCCAGGTCGCCGAGGACGACGGCGGCTCCACGCATGGCTTCCTGATACGCAGCGCATGCTGGTGAAAATGAGATGAAACACCATTTCACGCTTCCCTCCTTTACCCTTCGCAACAACAACGACTAAACAAACCCAAATAAAAGATGGCTGGGCACTTTGAGCGTGACCAGAAAAACAGATGACGTGAAAACGACCTTCCCCTCTCCACATCGAGGGAGAACCACTAACACCCGATGACCCGGTCGAGGACCGTTACGACACCCAGAACATCTTCACACAGCACACTCCAGACCTCACACTGGACCACACTCAACCCCGACAAACACTAGCTTAGTTGAAACTAGCTATCGTCTACGTTAGGTACTGCACAAGTGGCGTAATTGTTCTCCCTCCCTCCTTCCCCCTTTACCTTCCCCCTCCGCCACTGCCGCCCAACAACAGCGTCCGGGCCTAACGACGCAGCCCCAGAAACCGCAGTGCAGCACTATCTCCGAGGTTCGAAAGCAAGGTTAGCACCCCGAGTCTGACTGCGAAACGACAAACGCGGCACTTGTAAAGACGGAAGAGCTTATCTGATCGAAAATTCGACCGTCGCCATCGAAGCCTCCGTCTCCGCAAAAATGTCGGCCATGTTGGCGTCGTCCGCCTCGGGAGGGGGTCGTGCGGATGGGCGAACCCGGCGCACCCAGGCGTTCGTATCCAGAGCCGCACCACCGTCCCGAACAACTCGCGGGCGCCGTCCCATTGTCAGAGAAACGGTCCAGACACTTCTTACCGCTCGCTGACTGCGATGGACGACGCAAACGTCGCGAAAATACAACGCAAAACTCGGATCGCGGCCGGCCACCATCGAAGCACTCCGAACGTCCCCGGCGCGCTGCACGACGCTCGGGCACTTTGTGTTCTTGCGCCATTAAAATTTAAGTTAATCGCCTCCTCGCTTCTCGTAAAACCGATAAAAGGGTGTACGTGCGACAGAGATCATAGAGGTAATTCGAATATACGCGAACAAAGACCGAAAAAGAGTCGAAACGGTAGCTTCTCGTATCGGGACTACTTTCTGGAGCGCGCGCAGCGGCGGTGACAAAACCCACCAAACTGGCCGACGAACGGGGAGCGAGCGTATTTCTGCGTTGCATGCCCGTGTGTGCGCATGGTGACGTGATCGTTGTTCGGGCGTCTCTATTTGCTCCATTTTGTCCGCATTTATTTCACATGTCCGCTCGTGTCCGACGACCTCGCCGCTGGACTGGGACACATTCACCGTGAGTTGGGATCGTGTCATGGGCGAAGTGGAAGTGTTGAACCCGAGCCTCGCCGTTGTTGGGGGCGCTCCGTCGACGGGCGAGGAGCAGACAACCGGAAGTGCGCCGGCCGCCGGAAGTGCCCCGAGGAGCGTCGCAGCGCCGCCCAGCGAGGGATCGGGTAACTGCGTTGGCGACCGGGACCAGCTGATCGCCGAGAACCCCGATGAAACCCGGGCCCGTTCGGGCTCGACGGGCAAGAAGAAGAAGAACCGCCGCGGCAAGAGCAAGAAGCGCAAGTGGAAGCCGTACTACAAGCTGTCCTGGGAAGAGCGGCGTGAGCTGGAGGAGCGCGAGTCCCGACGGGCGAACCGGCTGCGCCAGCAGATGTTCGCGCACGGGCAGCCCGTGGCGCCGTACAACACCACGCAGTTCCTGATGGAGGACCACTGCGTGCAGGAGCCTGACTTCGAGAGCCGCAACGGGCACCACCGGCACCGCGAGGACAGCGTGAACAGCGTCGACTCCTCGGACGAGTTCTACAGCTCGCCCGAGGACGAGGACGACTTCCTGCAGAAGCAGTTCTCCGAGGCGTACGACGACGTGCACGCGGAGCGGCTCAGCTCCATGAGCAAGGCGGAGCTGGTGCAGGAGTACCTGCTGCTCGAAGACCGCGTCGAGGACCTGGAGCAGAAGCTGCGTGCGGCCAGGGCGGCCCGCGTCGACGCGCACACGCAGACGGCGCCGGACCCCGAACAGGCCCAGAAGCTGGCCGTCTTCCGCGACGAGATACGCAAGTTGGCCGACGAGAACGCCCTGGTGCGCGCCCAAAACCGGGCGCTGCGCGAGGCCCTCGACCCGGGCCCGTCGTGAGCGCCGCCCCCGTTCCATTGTACATAGGTCCATCGCGAACCCCATCATCATCTCCGCCGCATGAAGTGGGTCAGTCGCATCCTCCCTCGTCGGACTAGTGGTCGGGCTCTCCCCGCCGCCGTGTATTTCGGGGGAATGATGTCATGCGCTTTTATTTCTGCCTCTTGGAAACAACCCCTCTGTTTTTCTTTTTTGTGCGCGCACGAGCAGTTTGCGCCTGGGGAGAAAATAAAAGAAGACAAATGGGCGTCTATTTATAAAGCTGGGACGCGGAGAAGAGCGATATTCTATTACCAATATTAAAGGTTGTATTGTTTTTCCCGAGTGCTTTCCTGTGGTTCCTGCCTGTTCTCTGCCCGGTCTTCCCATATGCGCCGCTTCCTGGGCGCGACCAAATTTCCTCTGCGGCTCGGAAGAAACGAACCCTTCGAAGTAAGTAGCCCTCCCCTGTTGGTCCGTCGCGCGTAGAAAGATGAAAAGAGGAAGAAACATCTCGGCGCGTAGTGGCGCGAGGCCGAGGGATTGCGCAACTTCGTTGTTTACCGGAGTTTCTCCGCGGCGTCCAAGTGTGTTCAGTGGGCGCGTATTGTGTACCACCAAACATTTCAGACCCCCCCTCCACCCCCTACGCAGGAGCGGGCCCCGCGCTCGTGCCTATTGGGGTGGAGTGCGTCGACGTGCGTCGTTGGCGTGGGCCTCGCTTTCTCGGCTCGGTGCGGCCGTTCGTCGAACAATGCGATGGGACGGACAACACCGAGTCCCGCTATCGGTTACGCGACGGGCGCCGTTTTTGTTGCGTGGCGTCCCTGCGTCCATCTGCCCTTGTTTTCCTCTTGTCCATTATCTCGGCATCGCCCATTTCCTGCAAAAACGTAGTGCTTGGCGGGTGCCGAGTGGGATTAATCGTGTTCCCGGAAATTTGACGAAAGAAAGAATCGCCCGACCAGACCCTAACTGCCGGGGAGCCCAGTATATCGTCACCAACTTCTCCGTGCTATAATTTCAAGCAGACAAACTTTTGTCGAATTGCATGTGCCAGTTTGTACTGCGTCGGGGAGTCGTTCTTTGTGGACGCTACCCTCTCACACGTTCGTTATTTCCTCCGCAGATGGTGACCAGCCTGCGCCAGCGGCAGCGTCGATAAAGTGCGCCGTTTGCGCACAGTCTCACTGGTCTCGCCCACCGAGACTACGACACGTTCGATGCTGTGGGCAACCGACGTTGCGCCGCAGAAAGCCACGTTCGGGTTCACGTGTCCGCGTTGAAGCATCTTTGGTCCAAACGTGAACTAGCCCCAAAGGCTACGAGCGGATAGCCTCCAGACGATGGAGGCTACGAGCCAATCCCTGGGTGTCACGCGACTTTCGGGAGGGAATCCGCGCTGCATTGGGTCGTCTAAAGTTTTCGATCCTAAGGCGGCGTTCGTGAGAGGGTTCGTAGCCTTTGCAGTCGGTGCGCGCTCAAAGGTGGGTCGGCGCTTCGTATCGATCGGGAGGGCAGGACGCTGCAGTCGGCCGCATTTCAATCTCCTCGCGGTGGCCACGCGCTTCTTTGGACCGTATCCGCCTTTCCGCCTGGCCCCTTTCGGACAGCCTGGCGCCTTTCACGCGAGCCTTTGCTCCGATTTCTTTGCGTAGGGCCCGAGTTTCAGTTTTCTTTGGTATTTTTAGCGTTTAACTCGGCGTTTGCTCACCGCTCGTTCGATGAACCGTTTCCTGGCTCTCTGGTTACGTCTTGCCCTCAAAATAAAAGGCATTTAGCGCGACACAACTAAAGTAAAAAAAGAAATAACAAACGTTCTCGTTTTTTTTTTTTTTTTTCTTTGTTAGGATCGAAAGGCTGTCATCAAAATTATTGCTGAGGTGCCAACGTGTGCGTGCCAAGGACTCCTTGAGATTACTAAGCCAAATGGTACATTTCGGGGCGCACTCTTGTCTCGTTGGGTTCGAGCGCACTGTGAAGAAGTGCGCGGGCGCAGGAGAGCCAAATGAGCGCGTGCGAGAGATTTCCGACAACTGCGCAGCGCTCGGGAGGAAGCCGTTCGAGCTGCGAATGAAATACCACGTTCATGTCACCGCCGTTCCCCACCCCCCGAAAACAAATCGTACATAATAGCTAGTTTTTATCAAATTTAAAGCAATAACGATAGACAAGGAAAAAAAAAAGAATGCGAACAGTGTTTCCCTTGTCCTGTTCGCCTTCCTTTTTTGTCCAGCTGGTCCCCGAAAATGTTATCTAGAGAGCGCGGTAGCATTCGAGACTTGAAACCGGCAAGGGACGAAGGACCAGACGAACAAAGACACAGCGCCACTATTATTTAACGTGATCGATATTAACGAGGTGCGAAACTAAAGGGGCCATGATACAAGTTTTCAACTTCTTCCTCCTCAGCAAGCGCGTTACGACCAATCACGTGGTCGTAACGCGCTTGAGCACCGGTGCCATGACTCCGAGCCCATGGAACTTGTCCTTCGCAAGTGACGATCAGCTCCGTCAAGGCACTCATTGGCCACGAACGCGCATCGAAATATTCGTCAACGGATTGAGACGTCCTGTCCACCCTTTGTAGCCTCCGTCTTGGTTTCACATATGTTTAACTTTAAAGGGATACTTCAACGAAATTTGAACTATACCCCTCGTGTTCAGAAATGGGCTAAATATGATCCACAATGTCCGTAAATGACAATCGCACGTTTGAATTTTGAGCCTGGTGGCTGCATTTTTCGTTATAAACGGCCCACTCTGGCAAGTGCTCGGAGAGCAGCCAGCGGAGAGCACGTGACATCAGACGCAATCGTGACGTAGTTCGTCTCGGGACGAGCAAAGTTGCGGCGAGGCTGACGTCGAGTGTATGTCCTAGTCGTTCCAGCCACCGAAGCGGCTGCTTTTGTACGAATTTTGAGTGAAAGATTAATTTACTATACTCTTGTAGAGGGACAATAGCGATTTCTGAGATACACAAAAGGGAATCTAGGGTAGAGGGGAGTTCCTCCTTCGGCTCTTCTCTCGTCGTGGCTGGAGGTGAGACAGTTACCGTCAATAGGGAGCCTTCATGCGCGCTTTGCTAAGGTGATGCCACCCTTTGTAATTCCACTCGCCGACGAACCAGCAGCTGTTTTGGTTGTCGGCGATAATCCGTGGGGCTTATAATCCTCCCAACAAGCACCTTATCTCACAAGTTGGGAGCATCGTTGTAGTATCCCTTTAACCTCTTAGAAGCCTGCCTTATCTTCAATCCCGGATCGTTTGTTGACTAGTGCGTACGTCCGAGTGACGCAGCGTCCGTGTCCAATGAGGAAGCCACGGGGTACCCTGACGTGCTTTGGGTACCGCAGATATATCGCTGTGAAAAGCCAAAAAGTCTTCGAAGGAAAGGAGGCACGGAATATTCCGGTGTATTTTCAAATTTTAGTACCGATATGCGGGCTTTGGTTTTTCTGCTCTCTCTCTTTTGTCCCATTAAACGATATGCGATTAGTAAAGTCTAAATCTAAAATCACTTATCCTAGCCAAAATTCATTTCATGACCCCTTTAAGGGAAAGGGGGGGGGGGGGGGGCATTGTTTCCCAAACACTCAGTCACCCCATTTATTTATATATATATATAATATATGTATAGATATATATATTTATTTAGCTCTTTTTTTTTTTTTGCAACAAGAAGTTATGATTAGAATGCAATTCATTGCAGTTACGAGTTGCCGACCGCTCATTCTCCACCCATATGAAGCCCCAGCGGTCCGAACCGAATGTCAAAGTTTTAAAAGTAACCGCTATCTTAATTCTTATTCAAAATTTATAAGCGATTTTCTGAAATATTCAATGGGAAAAGGGCGGCCGTTGGAGCTCTCAAGTACAACCCCCCCTCCCCCTTCGCTCAAGCTTGACCCATAATCAAGGCCCAGCACTCCCACGACCGCTGAGAAGCGGCCAGAAACTCCCAAACCAGCCAAGATGTCCCTTTTTGGGGTGTTTTGCTGGAAGGTAAAGTTTGGGAGGAAATCGGAGTAAGCTTGCCCCCCCCCAACCTGGGGGGAACAAACCGTCGATTGCTTTTTTTTTCGTTCGCGGAGTGGGCGAACATGAGATCACCGGCGGGCATGAGTGGTTGACAGCGTAGACGTACACTGCTGCACAACGCCGTTTACTGGCGCTTGGAAAAGCGGCCGCGCTGTGACGCAGGCGCTGCTGACTCGATTGGCATCGATTGGAGCCTGCTGGGCGGGCTCGATAGCCCGAGCCACTTTGCGTCGTCGCGCTCGTCTCCGAACAACGCGGAGTCGGACCTGCAGGGCCCAGGCGTACAGCGAACCTTCCTCGGAGTCACTGGGATCGAGCTGCTCGGCGATCGCGCTGTTTTCTTTCTTTCTGAACCGAAAGAACCACCCGATTGTGCTTGGCTTCGTTCCGCTTAGGAGAAAATACTCGGCTAGCCGAGGGCCGGATAAGAAAACAACAATGCTACGTGGCGTATTACGCGCAAGGCCAGACGCTCAGAATGACGCCTTTACAGGGCTTTTATCCGCAGAAATCAGGGTGATACTAACATACTCAACTTTCTCGGTGTTGGTTTAAAAATGTGCTCGCTGCAACCTTCCCCCGTGCTTCCTTACCTCGTCGTTCGCAACAAATCATGCGATCGCAATTTGTGACGTCGCGGCGTGATAAGTACGGGTCGTGAAGTCGCGGCAACAAAGCGAGAGAGGACGCCACCCTAAACATCTCGGGAGAGAGAGAGATGTCACGCGTTTCCGCGTAACGTTGCCAAAACATTTTTTGACGTTCGGGAGACGTTTCTCGCAACGTTGGGCAAGCGTTTTTCGACTATACGTTCAGAAGACGTTTCGATGACGTTGGACAAACGTATCTACGTTAAGCAAACGTTGCGTGACCGTTCTTTTTTTTTTTTTTTTGGCGAGTTGTGGACGGTATGTTGTTCGCCGTCAGACAGCCATCGGATCCCGAAGGGGCATCGCTGAAACGATTTGCGGCACTGTTGCGGTGGGGCGTTCTTGCCGAACCCCGAGAAGCGACGGCCGGGGTATCGCAGGGCGCGTGCGCCCCGATAGCGGCGCTGTTCAGCTCGCCTTCCGCGCTGCGTGTGCGTCGGGCACCGACGAGCTTGTTCTCCTCCCGAGTCTTGCAGTCCGACGAGGGAGCCGGTAGCTCGCTGTTTCTCTGGGACATGGCGCGCCTCCAGCCGCCCGTCTCGATGGGTTTCGGACTTTCTCCGGCGATTTCTGAAGCGGCATCGAGGGCACTTGAGCATCTCACAAACCTCATGCGGCAATTGTGAAGGGAGTAAACGGTCCCGTGATTGTGTT